AGTTAGAATCAGTTCTACAGAAAGCAACATCCTGAATGACTCAGCAATCCGATTCTGAGACTAAAGTAACCTCTCCGGTGCGCAGATCTGGCCGATAATGAATGAAGACCTTAAGATGTCCAGACAACAAGCCCCACCTTCTCGGCCTCATCGATTAAATCCAAAGAAATTTTAAAACAATATGTTTGGGAACGGGTTGGCTACAATTGCCGGAAGGGCGTCTATATTGAACGCCTAGCGCCTTAAAGACGCCACTTAGGATTTCCTGTCTGGATTTTCTATCATAGACGTTTCCATGATTAGATATAGCCACAAGGCAACGGGAGTTTGAATTCTACGTTTTCTTTCCCATACAAGGTATTGCCTTCCTAGATTGAGGAAGCATATCTACCTGAAGCAAATATATATATATATATATATATATATATATATATATATATATATATATATAAGTGAACATTGCAGTCAACACTTAGGGTGACAGGCTGATTTCATGCTGACGATTGCGTCTAGCATGAAACAGCCTGTCACCTCTAAGTATTGACTTCAATATTCACTTTTATATTTACACACTCTATCTCTGATATTGAGCACTTTATCCCATAAATATAGCACACCTTAAGAGTATATTTCTTCATATATATATATATATATTTGAGATGAGATGTTGTAACTATTTACAATATTTACATTATTCGGACTGTTGTCCTCATCTTTATTGTCATATTCACGAGAGAATTAACTGAAATATTCAGAAAAGGCATGGCACATGGAACTAGAACAATCTACCCCTGTGGACTAAATAAAGGGTTCGGTTCTAAATTCCTGAAGAAGGCCGAGGCGTACAACGACCGAAACGTCGGGAATATGACAATAAAGATGAGTACAGAAGTTCCGAATATTTACATATATATATATATATATATATATATATATAGAGAGAGAGAGAGAGAGAGAGAGAGGGAGATAGACTTATTTGAAATAGACGCCCCATTTTTATTTATTTACTAGACTACTCATGACACCTTTCGTCACTGACGGTTCAGGTTATAAAACATTGAAGTTGATTTCAACATTCCATTAAAATATAAGTTAATTTTATCATGATTCAGTTAAATATTTCAATTTATCCGTGTCATCCTTGGTCTATTTAAAGTTCATGTTTAACATTTTACCGATTGTTTACAGCATTTAATATGAATAGAACTTCAAGGATAAACTTGAACTTTAAATCAGATTAAATTAAAAATATTTTAATTAAAAAAAAATGTTTGTTTGAAGAAAGTTAAAATAAAAAATACGTACAGTAAACAACTCGTAAATCCTTATGTGCAGAACAGACGCATCGCCCAAGCACACACGCGATCACAGACTTTTTGTATTACACGCTTTTTAGCGTCTAATAAGGCGTCAACTGGCCTTCGCATTCGAAAAAATCTGAAAAATAAGTTTAAAAGGTATGACTGCATTTTTTACTTGTTATTCGAAAGCGAAGATAGAGTTGGAAAAATCACCTGAGGCTAAATGTAAAAAAAAAGAAAAAAAAGAAAAAGAAGTATTTTGCTGTCGAGGTTGTAATAATACGTGTAGAGGGTGGGGGAGTAGCAATATTAGAATTTGATATGAATGATATGTTACTGAATAAAAGAACAGAGATGGTTGCAAAGTGTAAAGATGTATGTAAATATCTACTGTGCCACCTACCACCCGATTAAGATTTCCCATCCTTTCTCATTTGTTTGATGTTTTCTCCCCATTTCTTTGTCAATAGAATGTTTTCGGTTTGTTTGTTTTTTAATTTTATTTTTGCTTGCTATTTTTTTCTCTTTCTCCGTGTGCGCAATTTTATTTACTTTTTTTTCGATTTTTTACACTAAGGTTGTTTTTTGTTTTTTTCACTGAACCGTCTGGGGATCGCTTCATAGATAGAAACCTGAAGTCACTGCGAAGTTTAGATTTTCTTCCATTGTTTTTAATAAAATTCCAGTTATATTCTACGCCCTTTTTCCAACTGCAAATTTATTCTCTAGACTGATAAACAATTTGTTAATTATCAATAAATTGAGAGGTTTTTAAAGGTTTGAATATTTTTCTTTTTCTTTCTATTTTGTGGTTTTCGACACTTTTTTATTCAAGGTCTGATTAATTCTCCCTATATATACCCCCTCTCTCTCTCTCTTCTCACTCTCTCTCTCTTTCTCTCTCTCTCTCTCTCTATATATATATATATATATATATATATATATAGACAATATTCGTAACATACTTGTTGACAACACAAGAGCATCATCTACGTGCAAAAAAAAAAAGGTTAGAAATAATGGAAGCCTTATTAATAAAAACAAAAACCAACACTTAATAATATTAACTATGAACATGGACACAATATCTTGACCGTGTTTTGAAAAATGAAAACATTATATAAATACATGCATGCAACAAACTTTTTTCTTATTTAAGAGTTAAAATATTTAATCCTTGAAAACGGCTAAATGTATAGCCGAAAGCGCTCGGATAAAAAGAACATTCGGATCGTTTTTATATAATTTATCATCTGAAAAGAAAAAAATTATTAGATCGCATGAGGAATTGTATTAAAAAATTAAATAAAAGCACCTTGTCCGTCGTATTCAATGAAATGTGTATGAAAGAAGGATTGCTGTCTAAATACACACACACACACACACACACACACACACATATATATATATATATATATATATATATATATATATATATATATAATTGTGTATTTGGGCTGCAATCCCTCTTTTTATACAAATTTCATTAAAGACGAGTGTTAAGGTCCTGCGATTAAGCTTTTTATTCAATTTTTCTTGTGTTTGTCCAAGTGTTTTCTTTCCCGGGCATAAAGGTGGTAAAAACTGCTCGAATGTTTCATATATCCGAGTGCTTTCGTCTATTCTATATTTACTCACTGCCAAGGATTTTTTTAAAACTGAATGCGTAGATTTTTATATATGTGTATTTAGAGTGAATGGAAATGCTTTTTTTATTTTCCAAAAACGGTCAACACATTGCGGCCGTGTTAATAGTTGATGTTATTGAATGTTGGCATTTGCTTTTTTATTAATGCTTATTAATTATTTTCTTAACCGTTTTTTTACATTTGGATGAGGTTGTCTTTTCTAACAGTATGTTGCAGATAAATTTTGGTATGAATTTTCGTGCATGTTTAAATGAGTCCTAATTGAAATATGTCCAAAGAGATGAAATGTGAATCTTATTGATAGGCATGTAGTAGTATTATGCAATATAATTATTCATGAATTTGGTTTGATCAGGAACGCAGTACCTTAAGGGTCACTCATACAAACATAAGAAAAATTGAATAAAAATTTTCATCGCAGGGCCTTGTCAGTTATCTTTAATGAAAGATACATACAGACATACATACATATATATACATACATACCTACATATATATATATATATATATATATATATATATATATAACAGCACGGTCCCCTTTTACAACCATAATGGCATTATTTACACTCAAACTAATGTTGTTTAATATGGCAAATCCACTAAGTCTGTGCTTCTATAACTACTAAATCTCCCACCTAGAAAACAAGGTATTTAAAAAAAGTTACTAAACCCAAAATATATGTCTGCTTTAACATTCGAACAATTTCTACATAATTTATAAAAACACAGGAAAAATTAAATGAAAAAACCTAACCGCAGTACTTTGTCAGTCGTTTTTAATGAAACTTTATATATATATATATATGTGTGTGTGTGTGCGTCCGTGCGTGTGTGTGTGTGTGTGTCTGTGTGTGTGTGCGTCCGTGCGTGTGTGTGTGTGTGCGTGTGTGTACGTAAACCTATTTTATATATACGTGTGTGTGTACGATGTCACAGGACATTGTGAGCGAGGGTTTAAGCGTCCCGTCCTTTTTCAAATTGTTGATCACGCCAGGTTATGCATTCTCTCTCGGAAGCTGCATCTAAGGTCCGCTCAGCTTAGTTGCAGGGTGGCTATGTAAGTAAGTGCCTGCAACAGGGGTTAGTTATTCACCCTAGCAGGCGGGTGTACTTGGAAAGTCAGCCATTTTATAGAAATTTATTTTTTTTATATATATAAGTGTTTTAGTTTATATTTTTTTTTAATTTTTCTTTTGTTGTTTTTCAGTAACACCATGCCAGCAGAAGAATGTACAAGACATTGGTGTTCGATCCCGGTTGACTTCCTGTGGGGAAACGATCGATTGTGGAGACAGCCATGTGATTGTTGTGAGAAATGTTACCAATGACGAAAGTTTGGTAGAATCATTCCAGAACGTCTGCAATCACAACAATTCTTGCGATTTGGCTGTTGTGACCGACAGACGAGAATGTGAAGTAGAATACTATTGTCTCAATGGTAAATCCTTTTATTACAAAATATTACAGACAGATTGTAAATATCAACTGCATTCATTGTAAATGATTCAAATACGTACATTAGTTTGATATGAGCCAAGAACATCTCATCTCACACTAACAGAAAAATGGCTGCCATATTCAATATCAGTGAAGTCTATTTTGATGTTGCTATTCTAGAAAGTTGTCACAAACACATCTCACCTAACAACGTCATCCTTATCATTAATTACAGTAGTTTGACCGTTACGCAGGTTTTTTAAATAGTTGAGAAATATTATGGAAGATAAGACGGCAGCATTTATTGAAGTATTTTCAGCAAAGTTTGGAGTTTTGCTATGATTATTTCGCATCATATGACTGCAACGTGAATAGTGAAAAAGTTGGACAAATGGAATTCACATAAATTAACAGAAAATCGGAAACTGTGTCGTTTTGAGATGTGCTGATTAGTGCTTTCGAGCAAAAATATAATGACTCATTTCTGAAAAGTGTTTCTACTTGGGAGAAAAAATTGGAATGTTTGACAACTTTAATTTTAGTTAAAAAAGATCTTTTATGTAAAATATTGCTATATTTTGCCTTGTCATCATCCAAATTTTCAAGCGCTATGTCTACCTCATTCTCTTCATCCATCTATCTATCTCTATCTCTCTATCTCTATCAATGTCATTTTCGTATCTATCTATCTATCTATCTATCTATCTATCTATCTAATTCTCTTCATATTTATATCATTCTACTCCTATCTCATTTTGTTAATATCTATCTATCTATCTATCTATCTATCTATCTATCTATCTCTTCATATTTATCTATCGATGTATGCATCTCCTGCCTCACTACGTAGTCTTCTTCCGAACACACTGACTTCTAAACATGACCAAAAAATGTTGAACAAATAAATCAAACCCAACCTCACAAAAACAAAAGTAGACCCCAGGTTCACCATCTTTTAGATCAATGTGAGGTGTCTACGTTTCAACTTTCCAGGCGTAGAACTGCATCTTCTCGATGCAAAATCTGACCTCCTATTCCTGTCCGAAATTGGTATCGATCCAACCTATCCCAGTGCAGTAACTTGGAATCTCGAGTTATTAGCATCTAATAGATAAACATGACCATCAAAATCTCTGCCTACGAACTGACTCAGATCATTGAAGAACCCACTTACGTTTCTAATGCAGTAGAACATCAGGCGAACCTCCCTGGACTCTTCTTCCCATCCTACCCTGAAAAATGCTTCCCTGAAGTTTTAACCCCGACCCCAACCTGGGCAGTTAAGATCATTCACTTATCAGTGTCAAAGGCATCCACTGATATTCTTCTCGATAGAAGAGTTTTCCGGTCCTAGGAAGCCGACTGAAACAGCTTCAGATCTTATATGGTGAAAGCTTCTCTCCCAGCCTTCTTCAAATACACTACATCCAAAACATCCCGGAGTGGATCCTGTCTGGAATGGGGAAACTTTATACTTCGGATAAAATTTCAGGAAAAAACGAACAATCAACCCTGGTTTACCCGTGAATGTGCTGCAGCCATAACTTACTATCATCACAACTACAGGGAACGATGTAGTAAGACATTTGCTTTCTTGAGAATCACCCGCAACCCTTACAAGAGCTCTCTATAAAATGCAAAGTGTAGCTATCCATAAGCAGTTCAGGCCAAGATCGAAAGCAAACAACATCTACAAAAGCAAACCACTGAGATCCCTGCAGGAGGTCTGGAAAATCTCCAACTAAATTCTGAATAGAGGCAAAGCGTCAATTATAAATGATCCTGAGGTCATCTCATTCTCGTCAGATAAGGCAAAGATCTTCGCCACGATCTTTGTCTCTAACTCAACGTTAGATGAAAAACGTTATCCCCTTCCTGATATCCCCCGTCTCACTAAACACAATCTCAGTAATATTTTTATCAAAGCCCGAGAAATCTCAAGTCTTATCAAAAGTCTTGACCCTAAGAAAGCTATCGGCTCAGATAACATCCCAGTGGTTGTCCTTAAGAATATTAAACCTGATTTATCTCTAATCTTAGCGAAATTATCTAATCGCTGATTGAAGGAGAAACCCTTCCTTGTAAAAAGTGTCAAGTGTATGTCATGTTTTTCAAGGATGCTGGTAAGCGCTCACTGCCGTTTCAGTACAGGCCCTTCAATCTCCTTAGTGTTATTAGCAAACTTTTAGAAACTGTAATCAACAAGATTGTCAATCACCTCCTTAGGGACAACCGCTTGAGCGACAAGTAGTACACCTTTCGATCTGCTCAGTCCACTGCTAATGTCGTCACAGAATCCGTGAATCTCTAGACAACAAATACATCGCAGAGATAAATGCATTAGATATTGCAAAGGTCTTAGACAAGGTGTGACATAGAGGGTTACTACACAATCTCTCTAGCTACGGAATCACTGGAAGATTTTTCTCAATTATCAAGTCCTTCTTAACGTGTAAATCTCTGAAGCTAGATGTTAACGATCTAAGCGATCACTGCAAACGTCCTTGAAGGCTTGCTTCTTGGTCCAACTCTTTTGTACTTTACATAAGTGATCTGTTAAAGTTTAAACTCCAACCATTTGTGAATATTTACGCTGGTGATACAACGTTCTATGGCTGCACCTCCAAAACTCGAGATGATCCCAGCCTGACAGCTCATCTCTCTTCTGACCGAGCTTTAATAGCTCAGTGGGGAAAAACCTGACTGACCTCGAAAAACAAATTAGTGACGTTCCATCATCACCGAGCGGATCTCGAATTTTCACCTATCGCGATGAAGAGATTTTAAGTGCATTAAGCGCCTACTGGGAGACAATTCAGACCTCGTGTGGAACTCGTACATACGATCCATCGCTAAAGATGTTGGGGAAAATATCTGTTCCCTGTACCGCACCAGTAAGTACCTGGCTCTTCCTGCTTATCCTATACCTTTACAAGAGCCGGATCAGATAGAAAATCGAGTACTGCTGCTATATATGAGCAGTCTTCAAATTCATATCTCAATAGAGTCCAAAAGGTGACGAATTATTTTCAACCCTTCTTTGACAGACAAAACGTCGCAATCCTCTCACTGCTCTGTCGCTATTTCCATAGAAAGTATTAAGACGGACGACATTCCTTAGTTCCACCAGTTCTAACCTTCACCGTTAAAGGCCGACATGCCGCACACATTGTAGTGAACCACCCTTATTTCCTTCGTATTCCATTGGTGAAATGTAAGTTCCACTCGAGCAGCTTCTTCCCACGATCCGCTGCTTCGAGGAACCGACTACTAAGAAAATGCTTCTCCATTCACTGCAATCTTGGTCTGTTCAAGTCTAAGGTGAATCGTTATCTTTCATACATATCCGTATAAACTGTACCTCTTACTCTGTATCCCTCGACTTCGAGCGAATATTGGGCCTTGTACAAGGTGAACATCATTTTGTTTCTATCTATCTATCTATCTATCTATCTATCTATCTATCTCAGTCCTTTTCATATCTATCTATCTATCTTATTCTGCTCATGACTAAGTATATTTTACAATCTTTCCTATCATAAAATCCATTTTTCAATTTCTGAGAAACATTCCTTTTGCTTACACACACACACACACACACACTCTCTCTCTCTCTCTCTCTACCTGTCTTTATCTTCATCTCTCTCTCTCTCTCTATTTATCTATCTATCTATCTATCTATCTATCTATCTATCTATCTATATCTCTATCTCTCTCTCTCTTCTCTCTCTCGTTAACATTTCATTGTTTTTATCTTCATTCCAGACACATTCAGTGATACGTGCGCCCATGAATATTTCAGTGGCATTTACATGAATATTTTTCTGCCGGACGATCCTCCACGCCAGTGCTACAGAACCGATGGAGAAAGATCCATGGGTGACTGTTCCTTTTACCCGCCCGATGTTCCTCGAAACAACTGGCTTCTGCTGCAGGCCTCACTTCCGGTGAGCATCAGCCAGGAATCAAATGTCACAGAAAAGATGGAGCTCTTTCGGAACTACAACTTCCCACTCAATCACAAAACCTCACCGCCAAACCATGGGATTAGATTTAACTGCCAAGCGACTATTTGGCTCTTGTATGTGGGTGGGTAACATTTTATATACAAAATATTTTTTTCTTTTTAACTTTTATAACTGATGGGTTTCGCTGAAGACCAAATAACAGCGAGTCTCATTGGTATTTCAAAACTCTTTTTAGTATTAACACTGGTTTAAGAACCGTTATTCAGGGTCGGGGTAAAGGGTCTCGTGTGCCCCCACCTCACGAATCTATGATACCTCCCACCCGAAACTATGACACGGAGGCCTTACTCTACTAAATCTCAATTTTCATATAAAATATAAATTTTATTGTAACCTAATTATGTACAATAATGGATCATATGCAATATAGGTGAAGAATTTAACTAGAAAAAATTTAAATAAATCCAATTTTTTAAATACAAATTAGAGATGTTTTAAATAAATTAACAATGTTTATGCAGATGAGATTTTCTTCTTAAAAAATTAAATTGTTTTAACACATTCAACATTATGGATAAAAAGTAATGAATTTTATAGTGTTTTCTCGGGACATAACATGAGCAAAATTTCACGGATTTGGACGAAAACAAAAAAGATCCTAGAATGACGTCGGAATTCGTGAAAAATTGTCATCCTTTTTCATGTCAGTTGTGCTTAGTTTAATTTGTAACGTATATAAATGTTGGTAGAAAAGGTAAATGTCGATAAGATAGCGAGGGTCACAAAGCAGTGCCCGGGTAAAAGATATGCACGATCTTCCTAAATCTTCGTTCACAAAACCATAATATACATATATTTTAAAACATTTTTTATGTTTATACGTTCTTTTTATAGATACAAATATTTAAGTAAATGCTCTGTTTGTAATAAATAGTATTAACGGCATTTACCGGCCTGAATGCCCGAGAAACTTTCATAGAAAATATGCGTCCTCCGATAGGAATCGAACTTGTATCCTATACGGAACCGTGATATAACCTGACGTGCTTTTACCGATTGAGCCATAGAGGAGCGTTTCGGTTAGCAAGGTCGATTTTACTGTTTTTAAACTACAATTCTCCATGATTGAATGGATGGTTAGGGTGAGGCGGGAAATTGGATCGGCGTGCCGAGTTCAAATCCTGGCCAAATCTGTTGCAACCAAATGACCTTGAAAAAAAGTAGGAATCCATCGCTTCTCTCTCAAGTCATGGATTAAATAGTAGGGTATATTGGGCTCTCTAGCCTTAGAGAGCAACCTGTCTAGGGTGAAAGATGACTTTAATTCAAAACCGTAGAAAAGGCCACGGGAAACCACTCCACCACCATTCACAAAGAATTAATGGCAATCCTCGTATCATAAAGAAAGACGAGTGGAGAGACGTGCAGGTTGCGTGTCGGTTATCGGTGTAGGAAGTAGAATCGACGAGCTAAGTTTAAGTTTCGTTCTAGTCAATTATGTTTGCTTTGCACTAATACTGTTGGGAAAGGTATGAACACACTTCTTTCCAAGCTATGGTTGAATAGCAAAGGAGATTAAGTTCATTAGCTTTTGGATGGCAGTCGACTACTCTAAATTCAAAACTACGGAGTAGGTAACAAGCAACCATTCCCCTGTCTTCCCCAAGGGAGTCATGGTAATTTACATATAATAAAGAAAAAGTAGTCTGCATAGAGTTTTGCTCGTCTGCGTCCTGAAGGGATATGGTGTAAATAAATAAAGCCCAAACGACTCTTTTAAGGCCTATCAAATTATGACAAGTGACACCCATTAAAACCTTGACACGGACCAAAAATTCCAAGACCTTGAAAAAGTAAAGAATGTGACAAATTAGCTTTCCTAGTTGAACTTATCAAAATGTCCCAACAGCGTGATACGTTAAGGGACAAAACTTATTTGTCAAATTCCTAATTTTTTTTTTTTTTTTTATAGTGGGGGAGGGGGGCTAGTTGTCACGCCACTACCGCTGGGAAATTAATCTTATGCGTCATTAGAAGATAATCAACGTGATGTCTAGTAGATTGTATATGCTTGAATTAAAAATATAAATAAATAAAAATAATTATAATTATTGAAATTTAGCAATTTTTAAGGTTACATTGTTCAATTTTAAAAATTATTTTGTTCATCATTTATATTATTTACATGCGGGCTATTGTCCCCATCTTTGTTGTTGTTATCACATTGTTTCGGATGTTGTGCCCTCTGGCCTTCATCAGGTGAGTGTCGATCTTGTTAATCTAGAGGGAACTTCAAATTGAACACTATTTAATCTATGGAGTAGACTGTTCTCTTTTTGTACTTATTTAATGCTGCTCCCCGTTTCTACTGAGTTCACATTGCTCGACCCAAGGATTGAACTCGCAAATACTACGTCGCTTTAATCCACTAATCCGCTGCTGACAAATAAAATAAAACAACGTAAAAAATAAAATTAAGTAAAAGAAAGAGACGTAACGGAAGGCTTCAACGGAAAATTTTTTTTTTTTAAGCGAATTACGATGCCCTGGAGCCACTCGAGGTAGAACGTTACAGAGTAAGAGGAATAGTTTATACGAAGATGTGGGGAAGATAACAGCTAACCTTAGACTTGAACAGATTAAGATTGTAGCGTTTGGGAAAACAACCTCTTGGGAGTCGGTTACACAGTGCAGTGGTTTGCAGGAAGAAGATGCTTAAGTGGAGTTTACATCTCACTAAAGGAATACAAAGGGAATGAGGGTGGTTCGCTACAATGGGCGTGGCAGGGTGGGTCTTAGTCGTGTGAGTTAGAACTGGTGGAACTAATGGAAATAGCGATAGAGCAACGAGAAAGAGGTTAAGGGGTGGAAAATAATCTGTCACCCATAAGGACGCGGAGTCGCTTTTGGACTGTACCGCAACTAGAAAGTGAGGAATTGCCAACTCCTGCCCAAATATAACAGCAGTACTACATTTTAAGGCCTGATCTGGCTCTTATAAATGTAGAGGATAACACGAGGAGTCATGTAACCGACCATTTTCCCTATATTTTTAGCGATGGATCATAAGTACGAGTTCCACCTGAGATCTGGGTCGTGCTTAAAGCCTAATAGTCACTCAACATGGATGTTCCCTCAGGGAGGCCCTGAGGGAACATCCATTCATCGTGACTGGTGATAGTTCAGGTTCCAATTGGCGATAATGAAATGTAACCAGTTTGGTTTTCACTGCAGTAAAAAGTGAAGCCTCATTTAGTGAAGTCAAGCGTGAAAAGTAGCAGCAACAGTACTCATCAGCAGTCAGATTAGATTAAAGGCTCTAAGTTCTCCACTCAGAATTGTCCTACGGGACAATAGCCTAGTGGTTTAACACGGGACGTGCAATAACTGAACAGTACTAAATAAGAACTAGACAAGATACTTCTGGACATAGACAGTGAAGCGAGAACAATCCATCCCTGTTGGTTAAATAAAGGGTCCAGTTCAAAATTCCCTGAAAGTTACCCGAATCGGCAATCAGAAGACTGAAGAGCAAAACGTCCGAAACATTGTGATAACAATAACAATGATGAAGACTATAGTACGCGCGTAAATAATGTAAATAATGATAATTCCTAATCCCAAAATTCCAGACGGAAATCATTTTGTTGTTTTTGAATTTTATTTTCTTTCTCTTTTGTAGTCTCAACTAGCTGCGATGAAAATTTTGACGCTGTGTTCAAGGAACTGGAGGAATCCGACATTGTACCATCTCCAAGTATGTATACCGTACCGTCAGATGATGGTACCCTCTACAACAGTGTATCCTCGACCTCTGCATCTTTGGGTGTGGCTTATACTGAGAATGGTAAAGGCAATAGGTGGATGTCTTCCAGAGGTAAAGGCATACAATGACACTTTCACTTCACTATCGTGTGATCAATGAAATTCCTATTAACATCATTACACAGACGAAATAATATAACCCTATACTTAGAAAAATCATAAAACATTTAAAGATGTCTGCCGATAACTTAACCCATAACCTTACCTTGAGAAATATACATATTTACTAATTTTCGTTTAATAAAGGTCAAAGGTGTGTGTTTCCAGCTATGACAACTCACTATAATGACGATCTTCTGGACTAGCACGTTAACCATAACTTCAAGGTACCCAAACTAGAAAAAATATAACAATTATACATGATCTGATATGCTTTTACTGATTCGTCGCGTTCAGGTTTTTCTCTTCCTCCTTATTAATATTGGGGCTTAGGACAAAACTTTGGGGGTTGAGTAGAATTCACCTTAATAAACGTATTGCAAAATGTTTTTTTGTTTTTTAATTTCGTAACATTTTTTAACATAGTAAAGGAAAGCGGGAAGAAAGGACTAACCATCCACTGATGAAAAATAAAATAAAGAAAATAAAAATTAAATTAAATTAAATAATAATTAAATTAAATAAATAAAATAAAAGTTAAATTAAATAAAGAAAATAAAAATTAAATAAAATAAAATAAAGACACTAATAATTGAATTAAATAAAGAAAATAAAAATTAAATTAAAGAAAGAAAATAGAAATTAGATCAAATAAAGAAAATAAAAATCAAATTAAATAAAATAAAGAACATAAAAATTAAATTAAATTAAAGAAAATAAAATAAAAATAAAATAAAATAAAAATTAAATTAAATGAAAGAAAGAAAGAGAAGTAAGAGCAAGTTTTCAACAGTGACAGATTGTTTTTTAATGGGATGTTCACTCTGTACAAAGCCCGAGGACCACTCGAGATAGAGGATGAGAGGTGCAGCTTATGTGTGGAAGATAACGGATAACGCTAGATTTGAACAGGTTAAGATTGTTGTGATAGAGAGGAGGCCGCGCGCTTGTCGGACTTTCTGTCTTCGGGTGGAGATGAATCCAAATGAAGCTATGCCGAAGGGCAGAATCTTGTCTGGGGAGGTAAACAGCTATCCAACCCCGTGTAGTACGAGCAATTTTGGCCCGAGCCTACGAGCTCGAAACGCTCCACATAAAAAAACGGCCTTTTGTCACATCCTGCCTTATGGGGAGGTCTCAGGAAAATACCGTGATCGGGGAAGCAACCTCTTGGCAATTGGCTCCACAAGGCCGTGGTTTGTGGGAAGAAACTGTTTAAGTGAAACTTACATCTCACCAGGAAAATACAAAGAGAATGAGGATGGTTCGCTACAGAGTGCATGGAATGACGTTTCTTAGCCTTTATGGTTAGGACTGGTGGAAGTAAAAAGTGTTGTTCACTGATTCCCTGTCGACATAATCAAGAAGAATAAATTCTGTTTTGCGCCATTGCCAAGCGATCACGGTTCAACGAAATTTTACCCTTGGGGTAATTTTAAAAAAATATTTATCTATACTATTACTTGAATCAGTTACTTCCTCAATTACTTTCATCACAACGTTTCGGTCGCTAAATTCTCAAACCTTCCCCAGCAGTTAAAAACTTTTGACAAAGGCAACAACGATAAAACTGTTCTGAAATAAGTGTTCTATAATACTAGTTGTGTGCAAAAGTTACCAGCACTATTGTTTTTCGAAAAACTGGACTTGCTTTAGAGCAACTTGGTCACGAGGGGGTCTCACCGATCGAGATAAGGCACAATTCGACATTGCGCGATCGGCAAGACTCTTCGTGGCCGAGTTGGTTTGAAGCACGTCGGATTTAACGATGCTTTCTCTTGCTAGAGAGTCTCAGGTTCAAATCATTTTTAAATTTCTCAAATATTCATGCCGGTAGAGGAAAATAAATATAAATATACTGTTTAATAATTATGTTTATCCACTGAAAATAAAGTTTAAAGTTATAAAATCTGTCAAATTAATAAATAAAATTCCACAGACACACACACACACACACACACACACACACATATATATATATATATATATATATATATATATATATATATATATATATATAAATAAAAAATCCGTTGGTATATAATCCAAGTGCATCCTAGTAATATAAACTATTAAAACTGATCCAAAAAGAGCTCAGTGTATTTATTATTACAGACCAAGTAATTAATAAACGATATGGAGAATAGCCTATTTCGATATACGAAGATATCGGTCGTCTGTCTTATCAACCCCGGTGTGAACTGAGTTATATATATATATATATATATATATATATATATATATATATATATATATATGAACATTGAAGATAACATCCAGTGGTGACAGTCTCATGCTTAAAAGCAATGACTTGACAGTTGCATTTAAGGATGAAACCGACTGTTACTGTTGGGTTTTGACTTCAATGTCCTCTTTTACATTTACATACGCTCTATCCCTGATATTGAGCACTTGAATATATATAACTTACCTTAAAACTATATATATATATATATATATATATATATATATATATATATATAAGTAGAGTTTTAAGGTAAGTTATATATATTCATATATATAATATACAGTGTAAGCCGGATATAAGAGACCCGAATATAAAAGAAACCCGGATATAAGAGATTTTCTCTGGTCCCAAATTAGAGCCTTTGTTAATGTATATAAAATAGTCCAAACCCGGATATAAGAGAAACCCGGATATAAGAGACTTCTTCTCCGGTCCCGACAACTCTCTTATATCCGGGTTACACTCTATATATATTCATATATATATATATATATATATATATATATATATATATATATATATATATATACATACCGCTGAAAGGTATACTGGAAAAGAAAGTAATTCCACAAGCAAGAAGTGCGAGAAAAGAAACTGTTAACATAGAACTATATCTAGCCAGCTCAACTAAATTGATGAAATCTCGACGCCAGTCTAGTTTTGCACTTAAAATCAAAAAGTTTAGGTACGATTGCGAAGAGCTCATCCAAACAATTACAATGGAAGTATTTATAAAAGTAAATTATCTATTCTATCTTAAAATCATTTGTTAGCCTCCGGATAAATGAGAGGGAAATTAAAATACATGTTCTTGGTTAGTAAAATTAAATATGATTTAACACATAATATTACATGTAAAATAGCTAACCTTAACAAAGGAATCTTTCTGTGAGAAAAAACGAAAAACACAGGATTCGAATAAATATATCTGTATATTTATTTATCAAATTTAGTTAAATCTGTCAAAAGGCCGGATACACATTGAAAACTGAACTTACTTACCCCACCGAATTAGCCATGTTTACAGAAATTGGGTTAACGCAAGCAAACATATTAGTTACTTAGTCTGGTATAAGATCAATGATATAGAGCTTTCATTGAGGGACAAACTTAAAACAGTAATGAAATTTCTGCAAGACAGCTGTACGGCAGAGCAGACAAATATTTGTTTAGCTTAATTTATTACAAGGTCAGTCACCGAGTGAGGATCGAACCCATAGCGCTAGCAATCTAACCTCGGAGATGAGAATAGTTGCACATTAATCTAGCTACCCAGATTAAATAAAGGGTTCCGTTCGAAATTACCCACATCTACGTACCCCTGATAAAGGTCGGAGAACACAACGGTCGAAACATTGTAATAATAAGAAGAAAGATACCTCATCAATAGTCCCTCATGTAAATACGATAAATGATGATAATCCCTCATTACAGAAATTCAGACAAAATTAAATTCGTATAATATATTCGAAATGTAAGTCTATCGACATGTTTGCTGAAAGTCGTCTGGCTTTTGGCAAAATTTAAAAAAGAGTATATTTTAATGAAGAAATTCATTAAAGATTAAAGCCTGTCATGTGGAAAGTGGCATTTTGGGAATGATTAGAACTGCTTTGGGTGATTAGTTATATTATTTTAATTTGCTTGTTTTTATTTTTCACTAACATTTCTTCCATTTTTAATTTCAATCGTTTTCCATCGCAACTTCTCATATAATACGATGGCTATTATTAGCTTTATCTTGAATTGTTATTAGATGAAATACTGTCAACCGTTTTTATATTTCAATAGTATTTCTTTTATCATACTTTTTATCGCATTTACTAAAACCATCAATCTGCAGCCATTCGTAGACAGTAGAGATCGGAGATAAAAGGTCTTACACCCAGGACCGGATTTAGATGAAGACAGGCCCTAGGCTATTCCATCCACTTGCAAGGCCCTTCCAAATTTTTCATTCTTACGAGTAGAACAAAATGGAAGAGTGTTAAATTAAACAATATGAGTAAAGCCGAGGATGATAACGGGTGTTTAAAATTGCTTAAGGTTTATTAAAGCGTCATACAGCATGTGTAAGAAAGGCTTATGATAGTATCAAAAATATTATGCAACTTGGTTGGAGGCCCTCCAGATTTTGAGGACCTAGGCTTCAACCTGCCAAGCCTATAGGTAAATCCGGTGCTGATTACACCCAACTTCCATCTCTAACGTCATGGACCAACATTAATTGCTTCCGAAATGTTATGGGGTCCTCCCCTTTTTCATATAAGTGGACTCGACCAGAGTGTTACTTGGACTGCTGCCGTTAAATACCCAGAGTCAGTCAAAATATAGGGAGAGTGAGCAGAGATTGTGATTGAGTTGGAGGTAGAGTAATAGTGTGAGGTAACCGCTTGTAGAAGTCACAGTTACAAGCACGTAGACTCTAAGGAAGTCCTACTTCGAGACTATATATATATATATATATATATATATATATATATATATATTATTATTATTATTATTGCTACTAACCGCGTTCCTGGATTTACTAACAGTATTACCCATTGTATTATTGTGTAAATACATTTAATTTCTTATCTTTAATTCTTGCGTTTGTCATTCATTGGAGACCGAATTTCATCTCGGAATCCACAACACGAAACGATCCGCTTATATATATAAAACCCTACCGTATATATAATAGCCTACCGTATATATAAAAG